GCGGGGGACCGCGGGCCCTGGACCCGTGTGCTGGGTCCCGGGCGCCCCCCCGCCCAATGTCACTGAGCCCTCTATGTCACTGCGACCTCTGCGGGGGCCTGCAGGGTGCGCGGGGCGCCACACGGGGTCCTCTCAGCCCCCAGGTAGGTGTCGCCGACCTGGAGCCCAGGACAGGCAGGCGGCCAGCCCCGGTGGTCACTGTGCACGGGCAAAGCGTGGGTGTTAGCAAACTTCCACAGCAGGGCGCTGGAGCGCGTTGGATCGGCCCCCAGCGCTGCAGAAACACCTTCCGCCGCCCCCCCACCCCCGCACAGGGGTGGAGTGACCCGGAGGACGGAGGTGGGCGTGAATTGGGGCTGCCCCTGGGAATGGTATCTTGTCACCCCACCTGTTCAGATGACATAGCTAACAGCAGCCCCATCCGCCCCTGCTGTGGGTTAGATCCAGAAGTTGGTTGTATATACGTTTAAAAAAAAGGAAAAGAAGGAAAGGCAATTTAGACTTAAAGGCGCCGTGGCGGCGCAGTGATTCAAGCGCTCAGCTGTGAACTGAAAGGCCCGTGGGTGACACCCGCTCGTGGAGAGGAGGCACGTGGCTCCGGAAAGATCCAGCGTTACACCGACTCGGTGGCAGTGGGTTTTACTTAGAAATTCCTGGTTGAATGAAAACGTGTGCCAAGTACTAACTCAAATCAAGGGTTGTCACCTTCCAGGAACCTGCCGCAGGCGCTGCAGCTGCGTCTCTGGACCAGCTGTGGGAGAGCGTAGAGACCCCCACCCCCGAGCTTGGACTTCAGGGCTCATCCTACCTCAGACCGCTTGCTGCTCCTGGCACCGCTCAGGCTCCATTCCCCTTTTTGATCTTGAATCCTCGGGTATTCTGAGGAGTGTGACTGTTTGTCCATTGCCTGCCCATAAGGATGTCTGGTGGTGTGCTGGGGTTCCCCCTTGTGCTACTAACTGCAAGGTCAGTGGTTTAAAACCACCAGCCTCTCTGGGGGAGAAAAGGGAGACTTTCTACGCCCTGTCAAGATTTACAGCCTCAGAAACCCACAGGGGCAGTAATACCCTGCTGGACACGGGCACTATGGGTTGGAATGGACCAGAAGGCAGTGAGTTTGGTTGTATTGTTTGGCTAAGGCTGGAACCACGACAGTGTCTCAATCAATTCCAGATCCAAAGGGTGGCTCAGGGGCACCATCTCAGGGGCGCCATGGTCTCTAACTGACCAGGAGGATCTGTTTGACGCTTAGTTGTGCTCTGAGGTCTTGCAGCCAATTGAGGCTTACATTTACCCAGGTTCTCTAGGACCATCTCCCTTGTTGAAGCCAACTGATCATGCACTTTGATCACCGCTGGCTCTGCAGCTGCTAGGTCCGAGCTTGTGAACAGCTGGGGACCTGGATGGACACAGGGAGTCCTCCTGGAGCAGTGGTTAAGCTCTGGGCTGCTACCACAAGGTCAGTGGTTCTGACCCACAGGTCACTCCATGGGAGAAAGCCGTGACAGTCCCCGTCTGTAAAGTTTGCAGCCTTGAAAACCCTCCGGTGCAGCTCTGTTCTGTCCTGTGGGTCGCTGTGGGTTCGGGATTGACTTTCACCTGAGTGCAACAGGTTTCAGTTTTTTATTTTTGATTCTTTCTGGTGGGTGGTGGGAATGGTTCACATGAGCGTGGAGTCCGCCAAGGAGCACCTCAGAAGAAAGGCCTGGCGATCCGCTTCTGAAACGAGCAGAGTTCTCTGACAAGCTAGGGGCCGCCTGGAGCTGGAGTGGGCATGACAGCAAGTGGTTTTCCTTAGCTCGTCCAGTTGACGCATCCACTGGCGGCTACAGAGGGTGTGGTGTGAGACACGTCGAGAGTCAATTCAGAAATTGGTAGGAAAACCTACACCCAATTCCCCAACCCCACTTCCCTAGCAGGCAGCGTGACAGCAGCAATAGTTATAACTTGGATCCATACGCCCTATTTGCTCACCCGGGTTTGGTTGCCTAGACACACATTTTGAGCCCATTTCCCCAAGATGTCTCAGATGCGGCCACATTCCAGAAACGCGTTCCGCCTTAACAGCGGCTCCCCAAGCCAGCAGACGCCTCGTCCAAACCTTATGTTCCCTCTGACTGTGATCACCCATCATGGACTGCGTAGGAAGCCGCTCATGGCCGCCCTCCTGCTCCGGCCGGATGAGCGCCTGTGCTTCCAGCAGGGTGCTGTCTATGGTTCTTTGCCTGCATTTATTTGACAGCCTTTGGGGTGGCAGTAATGCACTTCCCTCCCCTGGGACAATAGAGCGAACAACACGAGCACTGTGGGAAACGGGGTGACCCAGAAAGGGTCAAATAGGAAAGCTCACCAAATACTAATGGCGGCTCTTTCTGGGCGCTGGGTTGGAATCCTCTTACCTTGTTCTGGGTTACCGCCCCAAGTAGAGAACTAGGAGCTCTGGCGGAGTAGGGGTTACACACGGGGCTTCACACCACAAGGTGAGCAGTTCAGAAGCATCAGCCCTCCTAGGGAGAAAGACGAGACTTTCTACTCCCGTAAACAATTACAGTCTCAGGAAAGGTGGGGCTTTCCACTCCCGTAAAGCATTAAAGCAGGCGTCCTCAAACTACGGCCTGCAGGCCACATGCGGCCCACTGAGGACATTTATCCGGCCACCCGGTGTTTGTGCCCCATTGTTTTTCACTTCAAAATAAGATATGTGCAGTGTGCATAGGAATTTGTTCATAGTTTTTTTTAACTATAGTCCGGCCCTCCAATGGGTCTGAGGGACAATGAACTGGCCCCCTGTTTCAAAAGTGTGAGGACTCCTGCATTAAAGTCTCAGAAACCCAAAGGAGCAGCTTTCTCCTGCCCTGTAGGGTCGCCATGAGTTGTGATTGCATCGGTGGTGGTGAATTGGGTTCGGGGCAGTCGATTCAAACCTGTATTGACCCCACAGGACAGAGCAGAAGGGCTCCCTGGGGCTCCTGTGGCCAGAGCCATCAGCCCAACCCTGAACCTGGTCATGCACCTGTACATGTGCAGAGTCTATAAGGTTTTGTGTGATTTATGTTTAATTTTCATGTAACTCCAAATCTATTTTAGTCCCCACAACATTATTTTGTGGTCATTTTCCCACTAGGTGTAATTACTTGGGAGTCTTTTGATGATTTCTTCACTGCTCCGTGATTCCTTTAACCACCATTTCTCTGGATGTGTCCCTGGTTTGCCATTATCTGCCATTACACAGCATGCCAAGTGTTTTGATGGGCATCTTCGCACACATTGGTGTGATGGCCACTCTGAGACTAGGAATTACAGGGAACGGGCAGCACATGCCACTTCTTGACAGACTTTTCCAGATCTTGAGAAGCTTTTGGAAAGATCAGCTCAGGATCGTTGGCAAAGCTTATAAAGCACCCTTTGCAAAGCGGAAACCCCACCCACTGCCCCAGTCAGTTCCCACTCCTAGTCACCCTGTGTAGGGCTTCTGAACAGACAACTTCCTCTTTCTCCCAAGGAGCACCTGGTGAGTTTGAGCCCCTGGTCCTGTGACTGTCTCCTCCAGTGCTTCCCCACCAGGGACATGTTTGAAGTGGAAAAGTTAATGCAGTTTCTGCAGGACTTGTTCCTTCACACCAAATTCACTGCATCGAGTTGATGCCAACTCATAGCGAGCCTCAAGAACAGTAGAGCTGCCCCTGTGGGCTTGTGAGACAGTAACTCTTTACAGGAATCAGAAGCCCCATCTTTCACCCTTGGAGCAGCTGGTGGTTTTGAACTGCTGACTTTGCACTTTGCAGCCCAACGCAACCACTATGCCACCAGGGCTCCTCATCAAAGTGGAGATCAGGTTGGTTCCTTGATCTTCTTCACAAGTGAGATGCCCATTTGCCATGGATCCAGCCAGGGCCCACCTGGTGGCTCATCAGAGCTGTCCCTGCCGGGTGTCTGCCATTGGCAGTAACGAATGGGCTTTCTCTGCCTTCCCAGTGGTATCACACCCTAGCACACTTGCCCTGGGCCTTATCAGCCACAGGGTCCTCAGGAGGAGCCGGCTCATTAACGCCACGTCATTGCATGTGCTGCGTCGTCCCTGGACAGTAGCTGATTGCCCCTGTCCCAGGACTGCTCTCTTGGGCAGGGTCTCCAGCCTGAGACCCCATTTCCCTCCCACAGACTCGGTGAGGGCCGCCAGGAACAATGAAGGTCCTTTTACTGAAGGACCCTAAAGAGGACGAGTGTGGCCAGGACCCGTATGTCAGGGTAAGTACCACGGAGCCTGAGCTCGGGCTACCTTCCTCCCACCCCCGACTTTTGCCACTGGGAGGGCCACGGGGGCTGCCGGCACTAAATGAGTTTAAGCTGTAACCCCGCTGTCCCTGATCTGCACCGGAGCCCTGCCAGTCCCGCCTCAGTCCTTGTCGTCTGCAGGAGTTAGGCCTGTGTGGGCTGGAAGCCACTCTGATCCCTGTTCTGTCGTTCGAGTTCTTCTCTCTGCCCAGCTTCTCAGAGAAGGTAAGATCCCTCCCTCCAAGTTACTTTGTGTCTGTAGAATCTTTGCTGGTCCCCGCTAGGCGGCCCTTTGATACCCTGTCACTGCCCCACCAAACTGAAACAAGGGGACCCCAGCCTCGCCGGGCTCTGGGAGACAGCTGCTGTTGGGGCTCCTGGGGGCGGGGCAGGGGGCATTCCTCAGGGTCTGGGGGGTCCAGAGACCCAGACCAATAGAGCTGGGGGTCTGTAAGCAGTCCCAACCCCATCCACACTCATCCTCTCATTGAGTCTACCCTCAAACTGCCAGGCGAGCAGGTAGGCAGTGCCTTTCCCACCCAGGCTGGCAATGTGGCCAGGGCCTCCCGCGAGTCACAGGCA